CTTTTTATGTGAAATATTACAACATTTCATATTAAAACTTACAGATGTAATATTACGGCAGGAAAAGTTTCCTGATGATGTGCTGTATTGGGATGAAAGATGATTATGAATTTTTGTAATTGTGTGGGCTGCCATTGAGAAAGCTTGCTCACATGGAACACTTGTTCCTTGAATAGCAAGGTAATCTTGTGCTATTTTAGATAAAACTGGAAATTTATCTTCATATTGGCTCCACCAAAGTAATGAATCTGAAGATACTGATGGTAAAGCTAAATATCTTTCTAACTCATCTTCAATTGGTCAAGGTTGAGCTTGATTAACTTGATTATTTTGTTGTGTAATTAAATGTATAATTATTCATTTTAGAACAAAGCATATTAATAGCTTGATTTCTTTTTTCTTATATTGAAAAAGTGAGTAATTTTGAAATAATAGTAGATTTATCTATAATCTTCTAATTTTTTACATATAGAATCTGCCATCATACATTTTTCAATTGAATGATTTTGATTTTCTATATATAACTCAAAATTCCTATGAAAGTTAACCAAATATCACTAACAGTTGGGTATGATGAAGATGATAGCATTTTAGTTGCTTTATACATAGGATCTAATAAAATTATCATTGATTGAACTTCTTCCCACTCATTATTCTTAAGATAAATTGATTCTAAAATTTTATTATTATTATTAACTAAACAATTAAGTTCTTCATGCATATGTTTAAATTTTTCCAGCATTAAAAATGTGCTATTCCATCTGGTAGCAACATCAAGATCAGGCTTACAATAATAGGAGCTCTTAGTTCCATCCCATGATTTACTGCTAAATTTAAAATATGAGCAGCACATTTATAGTGATGAAAATCACAATGTTCACAAGTTTCTTCTAATTTGTATAACATAAGATTACTACATCTAATCAACAGGAGAGACCATCCTATATAAGGAATGGATTTTCACAATTGATTTCAATTTTCTTTATACAGTTTAAAATACTTTTACAAGGGTATCATGTAGCCCATTCTTACAATAAATCATGTGCAAATAATTACAC